ATTGATCCGATTCCATATGCCCAACGCCAATTTGCACGTGCGACAAGGAACCCAAAAGCGAAAGGAGAGACGAAGGGTGAGATAATGAAACCCATAGTCCAGATATTAAGCTATTGAGTACATAAGAAGACTTTGATTGAATAGAGTAATTTATTGACGTTTTGACTGACCTTTCGAGCTTGTAGATGGAAAGGATACATGTCGCTGACAACATATAGACCCTAATTACAGAAAATTGTCAGAGACTTGATGGCATAATTGAATTCGCTGCGAACCGTGACTTGAGGGGCAGTTCTAAATTTATGAGCAAGTCAGGAGTTGATAATTTGACAAGTCAAATATTTCTCTCACGCAAAGAAAGCTGTAATGCACCTCATGGCTAGGGATTTGCAATAAGCATGTGTCATGGGACTTGATGGTGCGGAGATATATACCTGCAAATACCTTCAAAGTCGGTGCGAAAGTAGCTCCTACGAGGAATCCGAGGGCCAAGACCTAGGAATGACATGCTTGAGCAAATCACGTCGGGCGCATTGTGAGAGACTGGCCTGTGACCAGAATAGGACAGGAAGCCGTCCAAAACGTCGCATTAGCATGACAGCAAAGAGGCCACCCCAACCTGATAACATGATTCAATGAAATTATATGTAGGTCGAAAATCAAGGCTTCTAACCAAGCAAGAAAATACTCCAGCTAAGAACAGCAACAATAAGAAACTGATATGAGCGAAAGACAGTGTACTTACTTCGAGGTCAAGTTGTTGATCTCACCGGTAGTCGTGTCATATTGTTCGGCCAATGCAAAAATCGCAGCAATACCTGTGTTCCTCAATAAAAACATTGGACAGCATGTCAAAAGTGCACCAACCTATGCCAGAATCGAAGTCAGGGACAATAGCAGCGAGGGTGATGATGATAAGTTGGACTGTCTTGCGCCAGTCGCTCCAGTTCTGAGGATCATCGGGAGAATCAGTCGGTTGGGGCCAGAGGACCTTTGTCCCGTCCTTATTGAGTTTCAACTGGGAAGCAACGCTCTCTCCTAGCTCAATCTTCGCTTCTCTACGAAAATTATCAATATTTCCAACAATCATGAAAGGAAATCAATGGACTGACTGTGGATCGATGATCAGCCGACCAGCGTTCTTCTCATGGTAGGAGAGGAGGTCAATGTCGGACCTGTCGCTGTCGCTTTTGGCTGAAGCATGGTCGAACTTGTCATTCGTAGCTGTGTCGGGAGCCATCTATGTGGGAAGTACCCAAAGACAACTGGTTGCATATTTATAGATGACGACGCGGCTTATAAGCGTGTTGTAAAAAAACTTTCAATAAGTTGGATAGGGCAAATGTTCCCATGTTCACCGTACCTGTTCACTAGGGACAACATGCGTCAGCGGGATCTATGATCACGGTGACATTTATCGGCCTGTTCTTTACGGGGATCGACTATCCCGCTGTTGACAATGAAGCAGACAGGGAGATGACTTCGAACAAGAAAATGCAAATCCAGAAGAAGACGTCGTTCACAAGTCATCAGACGAGAGAAACATTAGTACATATCTCCCACGTCCTTTACGACCTTACAATTCGATTGGATAGAAACTGCCGAAGTACGTTCATTCACAAGCCACGTGTAGAAGGTCCGAAAAACCTGTGTACATGTCTCGACCATTGTCATGGATCAGGAGAATACCAGAGTGTAGTCAGACAGTGACCCCATTGAAAGAGTTGAAACGATGCAAGTTGCAACGAGTTGCGTTGCGGAGTCGACAAGACACGCCAATTAGTGAGCCCCACATATCGCGCGCTGTGCAACAAAGTAATAAAGAACGCGTTCCCACAACGAACCTCGAGAAATAGATGTCGGAAAACAAACAGCGTAAGGCTTTCACATAGTGTTCCTCAAGCAGCGACCAGTTCTCAGGAGGCGGACTGGTAGCCTGAGAATGAGACCCCGAGACAGCCATTGTAAACTAGACCTTGAGGCTCGTAGGAAGTCTCCTAGTGACCATATTGTGACCATAGGAATGATATTTTGGGATACAATACGAGGACTTCGGCCAATTTTCGGAGTTCGGAAAACTTTTACATGCCGAATACATCACCCGCGCTCTCCGTGCCTTCCGCAAGAAGAAAAAAAACATTGTAAAGACATTCTAAAAGAAGGAAATAAGGGCCTAACTGGGAATTGAACCCAGGACCACCTCCAATGGTAGTAGAATCTACTAGGGAGTAAATCCCGAAGGAGGTATCATGCTACTAGACCATTAGGCCGATGCTAACTAGGGACCAAAGTAGTCCCATAACGTCGTGTTGGAGCACCTCCTGATGATATGACGTCATCCGTCCACCCTCTCAACTCGTCTTGAAGCCTTAGTCAAGTACCTTCACTGCTAGCACCAGAATCTGTCTCTCCAAAGTAACAAAAAAATGTGTCATTCACTTTCCTTTGATTTTGTCACAAGAATCAATTCCTTGTCATAAAATTTAGAAAAATGTCTACCTTGTCTCCTACATCAAAATAACCTCTATTGGCCATCCTCTTGCTGTCAGAGGCAGGATACAAAGATTGTCCAGTATTTCATTACAAGTTTCTTCTAGAAGAGAATTAAAATCACTTTTGAAGAAGAAGTTGAAAGACTTCACCTTTTTCTTCCTGTTTTTTCTTGAGTAATTTTATTTTTGATCCTTCCTATCACATTCCAGCTGAACCTATGATCTTAATGCATCATGTTGATATCACAAGGCAGAGGAATCCTTTGTCTACCAGTACATGGGTAAAGTAAGTGTAACAAGACATTGTCCATGAATGAATGGTCATTCTATATACATCTGATTGTCTGCCAATTATGCTATGGACATAAGAATCCATCACTGCAAGGTCCACTCCACAGTATGACAGATTGCTGTTATCTTATTATCCCATGGTATATTGATCATTCTCAGTTGAATATACTAGTATGCTGTTGAATCAATCACAGCTTCTCGATGACGAGGCTATCCTTGATGACGCCTGCGTATTTCGGGGTATCTAGTTGCAAAAGAGGGGGACTGGGTTCATGAGGGGTATAATCGCCTTCCGTTGAATCGTCGACATCGAAATCGTGGATCTCATCGAGACCGGCTCCATGAGCTGTGGTATCACTCTCGCTCTCATAGGTGGAAAGGAGGCCGGTGCTGTAAGGAGGCTGGTCGAGTTCTGGTGGCCAGACGAGGTCGCAGTTGAGCTGGTGGATGGGCTGGGCCCAATAATAAGGGCATATGATCTCGTCGTCCGTATCGGCTGGGTCAAAGGTTAATGCGGACAGGACCTTCTGCCATGTAGACCTGGAGGATGAGGAGCTCGGGCACGTCAACCAGTCGGAAAGCTCTGATGACCACTGGGAGAGAATCCCTTCCCACATTATGCGCCGTACGTAAGAGTCGTAGATGGTATCACGTAGCGCGAATTCGATTTGACGTGACGGAAGAGGTGTCGAATAGTTCCTCGGCGTCTCACGGATGGCTTTGGCGATGAGGAGCCCGTCCCAGAGGGAGTGTAGGTCTGTAAAAGTCAGCTTAGAATACGTGAGCGATGTTCGTACGCACTGGTTGTTCTGCCTCCGAACTTGACCTTGTCAAGGTTTCCTCCTCGGTCGCGTCCAGTGAGATGCAAAGGCATGTGCATGTCGCCCACGAAATGGACAAGGAACTTGAGCGCCTCGTTCGCAGTGGCAATGGGACTGTCGCCGTCAGCGTATTGGACGAGGAGATTGGTCGTATTCCTAACTCCGCCAAGGACATTCAGATGAGGCTGTCCATCCCATCCGCGGGGGCCCGGGAACCTGCAAAGATCGGGCGGGTGGTCGCCCGATCCACCGACGTAGTGGAGTGGTCCAGACCAAGGCATTCTGTACCTGATACGGTCAGCCCATGCAGCGATAGGTGCGAGATGGCACTGGGGCCCGTCCGGGTTCGTCGAAGTAAAGTTGAGAATGTCGCAGAGGGTAGGTAGGACAGTAGGGTGGAGGTGAATTTGGGCTATCGTGGCGACAATCTCATGGCCAGCAGCGCCCCAGGCATGGCACGTCGGAAGGTAATTGGTACCCGCGAGCAGTAGACTAAGGGTAAAGGGAGAGAGACGCATTGTTCGATACAAAGGCGTTGTGCCGCTGCTTCGCACTTGCGCTTATAACTTATAGGCTTCGGGGCCCTTCAGCGCGCAACAAGGATTCGAAAAGGAAGTACTCGTCGTCAGACGTTATCCGTTGATGTCCGGAGAACAATAGATCAAGTTCGGACCGGATCGACGATACGGCCTCGATAAGGCTGTGCTGGTAAAACGTGCGTATGTGCTCTGGGAGGAGAAGTTCCCTCAGAGGTGGTCACTTTGACAGGTCACGTGACAATGTTCGAACGCTCACGGTTGGAGTAGCACAAGTCTTGAACATGAAATTTTCAAGTTTAAATTGCATCCTAGAAGCATAGCATGCTTACTTGTAGTTAGAAATTCGCAGAAAAAGAAATACAACGTTTCACTCGAGAATCAGGATACATACATCTGAGATTTTAACTAGAGATAAAAGCCATAACTACAAGACGTGGTGCAGGAGCACATACAAAAGGAAAGACCCTGGGGTAGCTCGGAGGGGGCCTCACACACGAGGACTCCATGCACAGATGGTGAGGCGGCGGAAACCTCGGTGGATGGGATGACGCTGCCCAGCGTCTGTATGGTCAATTACGGTAAAAGGTGCGAGGGTGGATAGATAATCTAAAAGGGATTTGAGTGCGCGGCAGAGAATAAGAGTTTCATGCTCCCGCGATCCCATACATGCGATGCACCCAAAGTAGAAAGAGAGGCAGTGATCAGATTCACGTTGCCCATTTGTGAATGATACGAACCGCAAAACACTATCGAGGTGGTCAGAGTAATAGAGTTTACTGACCGAGAGAGCGATAGCAAGGACTTTGACCTGAATCGCTCTCTGGGCATATGCATCACGTGTACCACGCCGCTGGGTGGTAATTTAGCGCCTCGAATATCAGATCCGTCCATAGTAAAGACCCGAAGACACGCTCCGTAGCCACATTGCCTGAAGGACCACAGGCGAACGGTATGAACAGTTTCCACATCGGATCATTAGTCCCACTGATACTTTTAATCTCATGCTGTCGCTTCATCGACGCGTACTCAAACCAAGGCGGATAGAATCCAGCCCAGCCCTAAATGCGACCATCGTCACCTATCATGATATTCCGCAGGTTGAGATCCTGATGCGTTAACACAAGGGGTTCAGAATCATCAAAAAACTCCTTCCTTGGTGGATCATCCTGGGAAAGCTTATCTATATTAGCTGAAGCGTGGTGGCGTTTGTCGAAGAATTTGGAAAGGGCGGAATATGAGGTGAATGGACTACGGATACCGCGAGTGCAATTGCCAAAAACGAGGGATTGGCACTTACGTGGCCCTTCCTTGCTGAGGGGAACCAGGGGGCGTTGTCACAGGAAAATTCAAGCAATGGAGCTGACGGATATAACGACGCAAGGTAAAAGCAATACAAATCTTTCGCCAAGTTGAAAGAATTGGCCAAAACCATTCAGAAGCACCCCTCGATTTCTTAAAGGACTCGGTGAACACGTGGGACTGGGATAGTTGTTCTGCAAACACCCAATTGAGGGCGTTAGCTTCTCTTGAAAGAAAGTCATCCTCTGGCTTTTGGTAAGTCTTTACTATTGTGTTGGTCGTTCACCTTTAAACGGACGTGCCGAAAAACAGGTCGTCAGGGCCTGGGCTGGTAACTAACTTCCCTTAGGGCTCAGCTTTCTCCGCAAGTTCTACAATCTCCAAGTCAATAAGCTAGTCCACGTCCGACGACTGGTGTCCCATACAGCTAAGTGAGCACGGGCAGATGTTCGATAAGAGATTTATTGAATGAACGTACTCACGCCTGTTCACCCAGATCTAAGCACTATTAGGTAGTGAAGAAAACCTATAGTGCTACTTATTGTGCCGTATCTAGACAATAATACAAGGAATGTCTCCTCAGTGCAAGCCAGGTGGCTAAGAACAACTATAGTACCTAGACAATAATACAAGGAATGTCTAGAGTCAAGTATGAGATAGAATGGAAGCAGTAATAATAGCGACGTACCTCCTCAGTGCAAGCCAGGTGGCTAGTAAGAACAACTGAGAGGTAAACACAGTCAATCGAACTATGAGTCCATATGCACGTGACTATATCGGTGATGAACTAATCGGACATAGTCCCGTAACACTACTGATCAGGTACGGTAAGACAAGAAAGATAAACAAGTGTCACTCACAACCTCAGAGTCTACCCGGATGAGAGAGGACAACTGAGGTTGGAGTCGACGCGAGCGCGTATGGTAAGTACGTAAGCACGTGATCAAAGTCAGCTGACCATGCTAGGATATCCGGGCAACAACGCCGATGCTTCTCTCCGGTCTTCTATCAGACATAATAAATGTCAGGATTGCTATCACCCTGAGAAACGTGTAAACCAACCATTTCAGATACCGTGAGGACAATGATGTAACTGAACAAAATACTTACAGCATGCACAAACACCATCACGAGCACGTGACGGTCGCCCACATGCTTTCATGTCAGTGGAAGGTCAGTTCTGCAGATATTTCTGTCAGTGACACAGAGTCTGTCCAACATGCATTACCCGAACTTCGCTATTACTCGTTACCTGCTTCTGAAATGGGGTAAGAATGCGAACGATTGCATGGTGTGTCCTGAATTCCGCTTTCCATTTGAAAGGCTTTCTCCATCAAGATAGATATTCTGAAATGGCAATGATGATGGTTTGGTCATGCATCAGATAGAGTACGAGCTCGTACATATGCGCGTCAAGTTTCTGGGATGAGACCACAAGTTGGTAACGAGCTCTATTCAATCTGCCCATTCTCACTCCAATACTCGACCCGCATGGATGCATCAAACTCGCAGCGATGTCCGCATTCAAAGCAGGCAAAAGTTGATGATTTACTGTTATAGGCGACCTTCAGATGACCTGTACTCTCCTGAATAGGTGCATGAAAACTTTGAATTCTTATGATTGGCATCCTGTCAGTGAATAAAATCTTTTCCAGACTTCATCATGTCACTTGTGAATTTTTCGGCAGCGAAAGATCGCGAGAAGCTGCAAAAGCTTGAGAACTCTAAAAAAACTTTCTATCTGTGACAGAACTCAATTAAACGGTCAGCTGGCGTGTCTGATGCCTTGGAACCTTCAATTTGTCTTCACATCTCCTTTGCAGAAAGT